GCTAGAGTAGACATAATTCTATTAAGAGGAAAAAAAACTTACGTTTTAGTTAACCTCATTAAGAGAACATATGCAACCGGTTTTAGGCTTTTTAGAAATATTAGTAATAGCTGAAGGCACTAATATTAGAAATATTAGTAACTGCACATTCCTAAAGGTCTAAAGATTCTAAGTTTGAAATTATTGTATTTTCTTTTGTCAGGAATGCCTGATCTAAACATTAACCAAATGCTTTGAGAGTCTTGACTTGTGGCTTCCTTGACTTTGGCTTCCTTGACTTGTGGCTTCCTCAAGGCCATAGGAATTTAAAATACTTCAGGACAGACGTTGGCTTTATGTTTCAGCTCTCAGCAGCAGCATTAACATTGAACCATAATTGTCTGTGCAAATCTAGGTTGAGCCTATGGACAAGCAAAAAATACTGCATCAGACTGTACTTTTCTATTGTTAATGTCAGGCAACTCAACTCAAGCTAAGTTACAAAAAAGAGGAAAGTTACTGATTCACATAACTTCGAAGGCCAGCTTGGCTTCAGGCATCACTTGATTGGAGCTCAAGTGTTGTTCACTGAGCCTAGTTCTTCCTACTTTATCTCTCACTTCTGACTTCTGCTGTTTGTGTTCTGTTCCTTAGGCTCTTTGTGTTCTAGTGTGAGAACAGAATCATTCTGTAATTCTAGTGTGGCTGAAGCAGCTGCTGTCTGCATCTTTTCAGGTTTACATCTAGTGGAAAAGAGAGAGCCTCCTTCCCAAGATTCCCAACAAGAATTTCATTGACTCTTGTTGGCTCTGACTGAGATACATGGTCATTTTGTACAAGGGACTATGCCCAGGGAAATGAAACACTGATTGTATAGCCTCAGGCCAATAAACCTAGGTCTGAAGCTCTATCCAAAGTGTATGGACTGTTAACTGGGGAGGGACAACTTGGAATATTGTTATAAAAGAAAGAAGGAATAGAAGTATGATAGCCCAATATCAACTGTCTAGCCATTAGCATTTGACCTGTGCTTGTTATTTTCTATTTGCTAGGCAGTGGGCTAGAAACAATCACAAATGAAGTTTCTTTTAATTTTATCCTCACAATGTCTCTATGAGATAGTTTATTCTCTCTCTGTCTTACAATTAAGGAGATTATCTGAGAGGTTAAGTCATTGCCCAGTTTCATTTCAGTGGTAACTGCTGGGACCAGGATTCTAACTAAAGTCTTTCTGAATCCAAATGTGGTTTATTTCCTGTCACCTTCTCTCTGGTGTTCAAAAAACACTCTGAATGATAGTTGCAGAATCACTAGAAAATGATTATAATCTCTCTAAGTTAAATTATTTTGAAACACTCATCTGGATGTGTTTGAAAAATAATGTTACTTTATTTTAAGCTTATTCCTTGTGTAGGCTTATATGGCATACATTCATTCATTCAGTAAATATTTGTTGAGTGCCTATACATGAGTTAGGTACCACCCTTGGAACTGAGGATAAAGCAGTGAACAAAAATCTATTTCAAGTATAGACAAAATACATAAAGAGTTATATAATATCAGATGATCATGAGATTTCCCTTTACTTTAGATTACTGAAGGGGCTCAAGCCCTCATAGGTATTTGCTGCTGTAGGCAGAACTGTGAAATTTCATCTACAGTTTGCCTAATCATGATTCTGTTGAAACTATTTATTAAGGGCCAAACTCAGATCAAGGCCAGAAGCAAGGTAGAGAACTAAATAAAGAAACTATCTAAAATCAGTCAAGCTGTAAGGAAAGCTAAATGAATTAAACACTCATTAATATTTAAAGTACCTTTTCCTCAGTTTTCTGGATTGTTTTTACAGAGGTTTTCTCCATAATCCCCCCAGCCATTACCTTTCCTCCACATACAAAGAATTACAGGCTCATTAGAGCACTGTTTCTCAAAAAGTGGTCTGCAGACGTCTGTGGGTCTACTTTCAGGAGGTCCAGGAAGTTAAAATCATTTTCTTGCCGTTTTTTTTTCTTTTTATTTTCTTTTTCTTTGAGACAGGATCTTTCTCTGTCACGTAGGCTGGAATACAGTGGTATGACCATGGCTCACTGCAGCCTCAACCTCCTAGGCTCAAGCCATCTTCCCACCCTCAACCTCCCAAGTAGTTGGGACTACAGATGTGCACTACTATGCCTGGCTAAATTTTCTGTAGAAATGGGGTTTTGCCATGTTGCCCAGGCTGGTCTCGAATTCCTGAGCTCAAGCAATCCAGCCCTTTAGCCTCCCAAAGTGCTAGGATTATAGACATGAGCCACTATGCCTGGCCAAAACCATTTTCATAATAAGACAAGACGTTATCTACCTTTTTCATTGTGTTGACATTTGCTGTGATGGTGCAAAAGTGATGGTAGATGAAACTGCTCATGTTTCAGAGTGAATCAATACAGATGGCACAAAACTGTGCTAGCTGTTGTTGTATTTCTGCTAACAGTAGAAAAGGAAGCCAGGTGTGGTGGTGCCTGTAATCCCAGCTACTTGGGAGGCTGAGGCAGAAGGATAGCTTGAGCCAAGAGTTCAAGATCAGCCTGGGCAGCATAGCAAGACTCCATTTCAATTCAAAAAAAGTTTAAATTTAAGAACATTTTTGAAGAAGCAATGAAAAAAAAAGTCTCAATATAATAATAATTTTTTTCCCAAGTTGGAAACTGCTTCTACTTAAAAAAAAATTCAGCCAGGTGTGGAAGCTCATGCCTGTAAACCTAGTACTTTGGGAGCTGAGACGGGCAGATCACGAGATCAAGAGATTGAGACAATTCTGGCCAACATGGTGAAACCCTGTCTCTACTAAAAATAAAAAAATTAGCTGGGCGTGGTGGCGCACACCTGTAGTCCCAGCTACTCAGGAGGCTAAGGCAGGAGAATTGCTTGAACCCAGGAGGTGGAGGTTGCAGTGAGCTGAGATCTCGCCACTGCACTCCAGCCTGGTGACAGAGTAAGACTCCGTCTTAAAAAAGAAAAAATTTACATTTTAGACCTGGATGAAATGTTCTATTATTGTAAAGGCAGGCAAAAATGGTCTTGCAGTGGTAAAGTGGAGTCATTTTGTTTTTTATGAGACTGAATGATGGAATTTCACCAATAGGTTATGGCATTAAGCCCACAGCCAGTACTTAGAAAAACAACAGAGGTAATAATTAAGAAATGTCTGGATTCCCAAATTTTATAAAATAGCATCATATTGCTCACAACCACGGGCATTCAAAGAAAAAATAAACATTCCACAAAATTATCTATTTTCTAGTTAAACTGATGTCCCATAACTGTATCTGAAAAGCTAAGTTGTAATTTTGAGGACACCATGGATGAAAGAGAAAAAAATGACTACCACTAGTAACAGATGTGAAATTACATTAGATAAATATAATCATTAGTTTCAGTCTCACCCTGGTTAATTTGTTTGTGGAAATGTGCAACCCATTATTCATTAGATAATTTTTCACACATTGATTAGAAAGCCATGTCGAATTGTGACCCTGCACATTTGGGCTTACCTATCTTGCAATGAAGTATACCACTTACAATAGTGGAAATGGGGGACAAAATGTTTATCTCAGGCTGATTTTGTGCCAATAAATAAAGTAAATCAATAGCCAGTGAAGTGTGAACAACATTTCTCTGCTGTATAATATGGTTTTGGGGGCAATTTGACATGCTACAAGGGGAAACAAGGGTCTTGAACAGAAATGTAATAAAAGCAAATCATGCTGGTAACTGTTATTGAAGTCCTGTATTTTTCTATACTTGGGCAGCTTTAAGATGTGAAAAATAATGCACATAAAATTATAAAAATATTGAGGCAACACTCCCCCATATTTATAAACATTCTTTCTTATAGTTGAACTTGATTTTATTGGTCATGCACTCTATACCTGTGACAAATCTTTTCTATTTTCTATTTGATCTAATTTAGTACACAAATTCAAATACCTTTAAAGTGTTTATAGCAAATGAAGCACAAAGACCTTAAATTTCAAATAGATTTTGTCAGCACTCAGTAAGATCTCATCTGAATTTTACTTTTCAATATTCATATAGCTGCTTATAGTAATCAGAAACCTCTAAAATTAAAAAATGTTTTTTCTCCTCTGTGAAAAGCTTTGGGAATAAACCATTATCTCCTCATTTTCACCTCTCTTACTATTCCAGACCCTGCAGAACCATAGAAGTCTTCTTTATCCAAGCCCATGAATCTGTTTTCTAAATCTCTGAAGGAGAATAATGACATAAATGCATTTATAAAGTGTATCTTCTTGTCAGTTGTAACCTCAGATGTTGTCTTTTAAATTAAGATGAAAGTAACACATTTTTCCACATAATGCAGGCTGCATTCAAATAATTAATGGTTAATTAAAAGCAGCTTTTTTTTTTCTTGTTGCTCAGACAGTGAAGGGCTCTGTTATGTTACCACAGAAAGGAGAAGGTTGGGCTGTTTGATTTCTAAAAGGAGGCTTCTAGCTCTGTTGGTCTAAAATCATAGCCAGGGAAACCAGCAGATTCAAAGAATAAATGGTTACTGGTGTCATAGAAACAGTATTTTACTGCCCAAGCTTGTTATTTCCTTGATAAAGTCTGTGTACCATTGTTAAAAATTTAAGAAATCATGGATCACAGACATTTTTATGATGTATGGTGACATGTATTTATTTATTTTCAATGACTTGATTTATGTGTAGAGTCCTGAGAATTATGTCTATGTATCTATCACCTATCTATCTCCATATCTATCTATCTCTTATTTTGAGATAATCCTCCCCCCTTTTTTATTTGGACATGGCTTCAGTCTACTCTACATTAATTTTAAAAATCTAGATTTAAGCAGATTTAATATAACTTATGAATAAAATAAAAATTTTGTTAGCTCTAATTGTCTGTTTGAATGCCAATTAGCAGAAGTAGAAGTACTTATGAAATCTAGCATAAGAGAGAGAGACCATGGGTGAAACAGAATGAGCATTAGACTGAAAATCAGATCTGTATTTTAGGCCTTGCCCCATCACTGAAGTCATATAATCCTTCTGTTCTTGGTGGATTGGGTGAGTTATAAGTCTTTTCAAGCTTTAATATTCTATGCATATAATATTTTTATAAAATAGCTCCATACATGGATGAATTAACTTTGTGACTCAGATAATAGTCTATTTTTATAACACTTTGTTTATACTTACTATATTATAAACATTTCTTAGTTCTTATGTATTATTTTATATTATTTATAATGACTGTATCATATTCCATTATACGGATTTACTGTAATTCATTTAATCACTCTGCTGTTGCTGGACGCAATCAAAGCTATCATCATCCCTCTTTTGTAATGCTGCCATTGTTTATTACTTGGTCTCCCCTTTCCACTCTTGCCACTTACAGTCTGTAATTTCTGTAACCAAATAACTCTCTCTCTCTCTTTCCCCCCTCTCTGTCTCTGTCACTCATGGCAATTCAGATACAACATTCCTCTGCTGAAAACTCTCCAAAGGCTCCTTCATCGTTAGAGTAAAATACAGTCATTATGTGGCCTACAGAGCACTGTGTAATCTGGCACCTGCCTACCTCTGGAACCTTATTTCTAATGCTCTCCGTCTCACTGCACTCTACCCACTGTTCTCCTGGCTGTTTTTCAATTCTCTGACCATTTCCTCACCTCAGGGCTCTTTCTCCTGGTGTTTTCTCTGCCTGGGACCCTCTTCTTTCTGATATTCACATGATTTGTTCTTTCTCTTCCTTTGGGTCTCTTACCTGGGAATGTGGGTCATGACAGTTAGTTTATTGCTAACAATGTGATTTATGGCAAACACCTGTTTTTGTTCACCTGTGACCCTGGCCATACCACATTAGTTTGACATTTGAGGTGGAGGGGTTGGAGACTGATTAGCTAAGGTCAGTCAGTCACAAGGGTGCTCCATGCCTACGTGACTGACTCTCCAATAAAAATCCTGGACACCAAGGCTCAGGTGAGCTTCTCTGGTTTTTCTTATGTTAGCAGTACTTTGCATGCATTGATAGCATCATTGCTGGGAGAATTAAGTAGTGTTATTCCAACTACCCTGGAAGAGAATCCATGCTTCCTCTTTTCCAAACTGAAAGATTGATCCTGGTTTCTCCTGGACACCTCTGTTGCCCTTTTCTTTTGTTGATTTTAATGTGTATACTTTTGAAGTGATAAACTATAATGATGAGTGTGACAGCTTTTCCAAGTTCTGAGTTCTTCTAAGGAATCATCAAACCTGAGGGTAATGGAGATCTGCTGACACAAATAATACATCCATAGAGAGAGAAATTGGAATAATAATAAATTCTTGACTACCTAAAACAAGGCAAGAAAGAAAAGTAAGGAACAAAGAACAAATAAGATAAATAGAATATATAAACTAATATGGGAGATTTAGACCCAGATATGATCGTAGTTATACTAAATGTTAGTTGAATAAATAATTAAAAGATAAACTATCAGATTCAACTGAAAAAAATGTAACTATACGCTGCTTATAGTGACACATCTTAAATACAGAGACGTGAAAGACTGAAAATAAAATAATAAGAAAATATATTTCAAGTAAATTGTAATCCACAAGAAACTTGGTGACAGTAATATCAGATAAAGTAGATTTTACTAAGACAAAGAAGTACATTTCATAATGATAGGTCAATCCCACATAGTTCTAAATTTGCATATTCTTAAAAACATGGCCTCAATACATATCAAATAAAACATATAAAAATATACATAATTTCACAATCTTAATTGGAGATAGCATACTTCATGGTCATCAATAGAGAAGGCACAGAAAATAAGTAGAAATATAAAAGATTTGAACAATCTTAATTCAATGGCTATAATTACAACCAGTATTTAACAACCTAGAATGTACATTCTTTTAAGTGCACATAGAACATTTACTAAAATTGATCATATGATGGAACATAAAGCAAGTTTCAGCAAATATCAAATGACTGAAATCATACAGAGGCTGTTTTCTGACCATTGCACAATTAAAGTAGAACTCAATAAGAGAAAACTAGTAAACCCCCCAAATATTTGGAAATTAGACAACATTTTCCGTATAACTCAAGGGTAAGGGAAGAAATCAAATTGGAAATTAGAAAACACAGAGCTACACAATAATAAAAAAGCAACAGATCAAAACTTATGAGATACAGTGAAAGCCATGCTTAGTGAGATGCTTACGGCTCTGAATGCATGTATTGGAAAAAAGAACGGCTGACTGTCAGCAAATTAAGAATCTATCTCTTGAAATTAGTAAATGATCTGTGAATCAAACCCAAAATGAAATAAGAAAAGTAATAAAAATAAGAACAGAAAATATAGGTATAATAGAGAAAATCAGTGCAGCTAAAAGTTTTCTTTGGAAAGGCTAATAAGTTTGATTAACTCCTGCTAAAACTGATGAGGAAAAAAACAGAGAAGGCACAAATGACCAATATCAGTAACAAAATGAGACATTGCTATAGATCCTTATTATTAAAAAGGTAATAAGGAGGATGTTACATAAGGTATATATTTATACCTTAAATATAAATTTATACATAAACATTTGAAAATTTCAACAAAAGCAGAAATTGCTTGAATAAAACTTAAGAAAATGGAATCAAGGAGGAATAAAAAATTCAATTTTATTTTCTATTAAAGAAATTGAGAATAATTGGAAGAACCACTCAGAAAGAAAACTAAAGTTTCAGATGACTTCTCTGGTGAATACTTTCAAACATTTATTTCCATTAATATTGAAAGTAATATTTTCAAACATTAGGTAATCCCAGTCTTACATAAACTTTTCCAGAGAACAAACAACAAAAAAAGATGGAGCACTTTCCAACTCATTCTATAAGAGCAGCATAACCTTTCTAACAAAACAAGAAAGAAATAATTCAGGAAAGGAAATACAAGGAATACAGGAATAGACAATACAAGAAAGGAAAAATATAGGTCAATCTCTCTCATTAACATTGGAGTGAGAAAATATTTTACTTAGCCTAAGTTGTTGCCACAACATCTGTCTAGGGGAAAGGGAGAAATATAGACCTGATCCAAGGGAGGACTCTTCCCTTATCACACAGACCACTAGTCCCTACTAGCTATTCTTCCCTTTGCTATCCTGAGCAAGACTCCTTTGCTGCCAGCTATTTTATCTAACACAGCTCACTCTCAGATCCCCTCTGCTCTTCCTCTTTCTCAGCTCTGATCCAGATTCCCACTACCTTTTACTCAAAGTACTCAAAGGTGTCTGTGGGAAGCCCTGTCCTTCAAGGCTTGTAAGGCACTTTGTTTTGTCCTCTTTGTCTCATCCCATGTGCCATCTGTGTGGTCCCTTGGGATAAGCTGTATCCCTCCTTCTGGGAGTTGATGTCTTAATAACTCTGATGTATTTCCTCTACATCCTGTTGGGTGTTACATGCTCAGTCATGTGAACCTATCATGAAAGGAGATGCCTGCTAACCCACTGAGGTTATTGGTAAGGCCATCAAAACAGAGGCACATAGTTGCAAAAATCCAGAATTAAAATATTAGCAAATCTAATCCAGCTATCTATAAAACTGGTAACATATCACAACCAAGTTGGATTTATTCCAGGAATGCAAGGTTAGTTTAACATTTAAAAAGTCATTTAAAAATTGCATTAATAAAATTGATAGCATAAAAGACAAAAAAACCTCCATATGATTATCTCAATAAATAAAGAAAAAAAGTATTAAAATATGTTTATAAAAGCTCTTAGAAAACTAGGAATAAAAGACTATAATCCAAAACTCATATAGAATATCTACAAAAATATTATGTAAAGATCAGACATAATATTGAATATTGAAAGTTTTCCTTCCTGAGATAGGGACAAAAGGATGTCAGCACTCACCATTTCTATTCAGAATTGTACTGAAGTCTTAGCTAGTGCTATATGGCAAGAAAAGTAGATGTTATAAGGATTGGAAAGGAATAAATAAAAGTGTCATTGTTCATGAATGACATGATTATGTGTGCATAAAATTTTAGAAGTATAGATAAACTGTTAAAATTAGTAAGTGAATTTAGAAAGATCAAAATATAAAAATTAATCATATTTATAGTGAAGAATTGTAAAATGAAATTTTAAAATGATAGTTTTTGCAATACCATGGAAAACACTTAGAAATAAATCCTAAGAAATAATATAAAAGATCTCTACAGAGAAAACTCCCAAATATTTCTGAGAGAAAGACATAAATAAATGGGAAGATATACCATATGTAGAGTTGGAAGACAACATAGTTTCCTCCAAATTGATCTATAGATCCATTGCAATCCCAGTCAGAATCCCAGCCAGTTTTTTTCTTTTTTAATGTAATACAATCTCAAGCCCCTGGCAAGTTTTTAAAAAAACTCAATAAACTGATTCTAAAATGAACAACTCTGACAGTCTTGAAAAAGAACAAAGCTAAAGGATTTATACTACTGGATATTAAGTTTAAAAAACTACAGTAAATATGATTGAATAAAACTGGCATAATACAGTATACAATTCATTGTCATTATTCATGGATTTAGGTTTGTAAATTCATGTGCCTGCTAAAATTTATTTGTAACCCCAAATCAATATTTGCTGCTTCACAGTCATTAGAGGTCATTTGCAGAGCATTTAAAAATTTGAATTGCCTGACATGCATAGTATCTACTGAGGTTGAACGATGTGTGGGTTTCTCTCGCATCTAAATAAGTGTCCTTTTTGTAATTAAGTGCCACATTTTCACATTTTCATGATTCTTGTTGATGATTTTGCTGTTTAAATGGCCCCGAAGAGTAGTGCTGAAGTGCTTGCTGGTGTTCTTAAGTGCAAGAAAGCTGTGATGTGCCCTACTAAGAAAATATATGTATTATATAAGCTTCTTTCAGGCATAGTTATAGTGCTGTTAGCCGTAAGCTTAGTGTTAATGAATAAACAATACATATTAAAGATGGTTTTTAAAAACAAAAACACATAAAACAAGGTTATATATTGACTAGTTGACACAAATGTGACTGGAGGCTTTCAGGAACCTAATCATTTATTTCCTATAGGAGCAATCATTTGGTATTTACTAATTCAGTGTTTGCAGAAACTTTGTTATTAGCTATTGCAAAT